ACACATAACATTTGCTCCAAAACGTAAAAGACATAAAGGGTTTTGTAAATAGCTAATAGTCAGAAACGGGTGTCTCTTGTCCACTAAAAGAAGCAAAGCCATTAAATGTTTGCCGCATACATCATGTCCAAATCCAGCGAATACAACAAACAAAAGTCTATCAATCACTGTCTTAAACAAATAACACATTTCTTGGTCCATAATATGTACTATAGTGTCACAGTGAAGTTACTGTCCATAATTGTGTGCTTACTGTACAACTTTATCATTGCAATTACAGTCTCAAGAGTTCCTGAATAAGCCTTTGTGAATAATAAATCATGCTCTATAAGTGGCTGTGATTTGCGTTCTCAAACTGAGGCGGTGAATAGAGAACACAGACAGGGGGCTTTCTCTATACACGCTGGAAGTGTTTTTTTCATGTAAATGAGCTTTGGGTCTTTGAGAGCTGAAAAATGGACATTGGCAGAGACTCTTGTTGGTCAGTCCCTCTCTTGCGGAGCAATTCAATGGGAAACTGTCCGCACTTTTTCTTCCTTGTGTGGGAAAACATTCCAAATAGCAGAGGAAAGGCTAATGTTTTGTGCCATTTAATAAAACTTCAATCTATAATTTCCTTTCTTAAGTATCCCTGTTCATTTGGTGCCAATGAAGTGTAGGGCCTAAATGTGATAAAACCCAAATATTTTACTCCACACTTGATTTGTTCAACCAAAATCAACAACTTTTCTGGTAGAACAATTAAACAAGGTAACTGTGTAGGGCAAGCAAGCTACTGCCAAACCAACAGGGGCAGGTTTATGCAGGAAGCACAGTTTTTACTAATGTAAACATCTAAAATGAATAAATAATTACATTTTTTCACAAACTCTGTGTTGTGTATTTTCTGGTAATCAAATGAACATGCAGAACATTCATATTTAAATCGTCTTTTTGCAATTTAATATTCACAGACTATATATATATATACACTGACCTGTTTTTTATTTATTCATCAAAAGTAAGACAAACTGGATTCCGCGATTCCGTCAATGTTTTCTGCATCGCGGAAACCATAGGGCCCTACTAATGTAGCAAACGAATATGATAAGCTCATTGTGAGAGTAAAAGACGAGGGCATTTATGTTTATTTACTTAGCATTGAGTCTCTCCAAGTAGGTGACAACGCAGCATTAAATCACCATTCAACAGACAAAAGCCACCACTGCACTGCCGTCTTGGACTGCATATAATATGCTGATTTATTTATTTATTTTTTAACCCGTGATACTTTTTAAAGGATTTTTTGATGAATAAAATTAAAAGAACAGCATTTATTTAAAATAGAAATCTTTTGTAAGAATATACACCGCCGTTCAAAAAGTTTGGGGTCCGCTTTTTTTTTCTTTTGTTTTTTTTTCTTTTGTTTTTTAATTGATAAAAAAGTGATAATAAAGACTTATATTGTTAGAAACGATTTAAATTTTAAATAAATGCTGTTCTTTTAACTTTTTTCATCAAAAAATCCTTTAAAAAGTATCACGGGTTAAAAAAAAAAGAATAAATCAGAATATTATACTGATTTCTGAAGATCACGTGACACTGAAGACTGCAGTAATGATGCTGAAAATTCAGCTGCGCATCATAGAAATAAATTACAGTTTAATAGATATTCACATAGAAAACATTCATTCTAAATGGCAATAATATTTCACAATATTACAGTTTTTTCTGTATTTCTGATCAAATAAATGCAGCCTTGATGAGCACAAGAGACTTCTTTAAAAAAACATTACAAACCTTACTGATCCCAAACTTTTGACCAGCAGTGCACAACAACAACTTACAATAGAATTTACAATAATAACAAAGAATCTTTAATTATATAGACACCATTTAAACAATTTACTTGAAAAAGAGAAAAAGGAGATAATATTAGAATGGAGCACATAGTAAACTTCACATAAATAGAGCAGTAAAATACACGTGACATTTGCACTGATATATTTTTATTCAATATTTATGGACGATCAGCTGTTCTATAAACTCTTAACACATAATTACATATAAACAGACACTTCTCGAGGCTCAGCTTCAGAAAGCACTACTTGTTTTAAAAACACACCATTTTATAAACTCAGTCAAAGCATTATTAGCAGACGCATATGTTGATAAACGCGTATCTGAGATATAAACACTGCTGAAGCTTTTTAAAGTCTTACCTATTCGTCCTCTTCCACTAAACAGCTCCAGTGTATCGCCCAAGCAGGAATACATCCCCGGAATGCATGCTGTTGGAGCCCAATAAGCGGATGTTTCTCGGTTTGCTGATTATATATCATGTGCTTGTTGGAAACTTTTCCTTCTTTTGTGCGAGTGATCTTCTGCTCATCAGCTTCAGTCCCCTCGACGCTGCGCCATATTGTTAGAGGACGCGCGTGCGCTGTGAGCTGTGCGCTCACCGTGCGGCAAGCAAAAGAATTGCTTCATTCTCTTCAATAATGTCTAGGCAGGTAATACTGATACTAATACTCAGCGTTGGGGAAAGTTACTTTTAAAAGTAATGCATTACAATATTGCGTTACTCCATAAAAAAGTAACGATTTACGGTACTCCGTTACTTTTTATGGAAAGTAATGCGGTACGTTACTTTTACGTTACTTTTTAAATCTGGACAGGGTTTGCTTGTTTGCTTTTAAAATAAAAAAGTTCTATTTTTGGCAAATATAAAAGCCTTTGCACACCAAAAGTGAGATGAATCAGCCTCAGGCTGAAGGGAAAATAAATGTACGTCCGTACAGTAGAATGCAGAAGAAGACATTTCAACACACAAAAGACACAAATGTTTGTCTAGAGACATTTGTGCTTATTAGTACGCTTGAACTGGATCATCGAAGGTCAGAAGCTAATAGAATGGGATTAAATACATAAAGCATGTTTGTGTTGTTTAACATTTAATTATTGCAGGTTTGCGCATATTTTGAGTTGCGTTTTTTTTATTTATTTTGCGGAATACTGAATCTGTGTGTTTTTTTTTTTTTTGTGAGTGAGATGAATTAATGCATATTCATATTTATTTTAGAACTATAGTAACATCTGATTTCTCTCAGCATGGAGACAGGAGAGCTGCCAGTCAATAAATTGGGGGGGGGGGAAGTAACTTGCGGTACTTATCTGAAAAGTAACTCCGATATTCTCTTGTAGATTAAAAAGTAATGCGTTACTTTACTAGTTACTTGAAAAAAGTAATCTGATTACGTAACTCGCGTTACTTGTAGTGCGTTACCCCCAACACTGCTAATACTAGTAATAATAATAGTAACACCACTACTACTACTACTATTAATAATGCATTACAAGTAACGCGAGTTACGTAATCAGATTACTTTTTTCAAGTAACTAGTAAAGTAACGCACTACTTTTAAATTTACAAGAACATATCCGAGTTACTTTTTCAAGTAAGTAATGCCAGTTACTTTGTTTTCCCATGTATTGGCTGACATCCTGACCTGATATTGAGAAAACATGATCTTACTGTAGTTCTAGACTAAATGTCAACATGTATTTACTCATCTCACGCGCACAAAAACAGAGTCAGTATTCCTCCAAATGAATAAACTGTGAAATGCAAGCTTGATGCAAACATGTTAAATAACACAAATATCCTTTATGTATTCAATTTCATTTTATTAACCAGTATCTTTGCTGCTGACTTTCGATGATCAATGATACTAATAAGCAAAAATTACTTTAGATGAACATGACATGTGTTTCTTCTTTTTCTGAAGAGAGAAAAATGAGGCCAAGGCAGATGAGGAAAAGGAACGCAAAAGTAGCGTACCACATTACTTTCCATAAAAAGTAACTAAGTACCGTAAGTAGTTACTTTTTAGGAAGTAAGGCAATATTGTAATGCATTACTTTTAAAAGTAACTTTCCCCAACACTGCCTACTACTACTACTAATACTACTAATGATAATAATACAGTGTTTGTATCATATAATCATGTAATAATACTATACAAATAATCATTGTACTAAATACATTTACAAAGTAAGATAACCATAGTTATTTTTAATTGTCATTACTGTCCTTGCAACAACAAAAGACATTAAACAAAGTGACAGAAAGATTTAGAAAGTTTGCACTGCATGCATATTACAACAGTAGCGATAACTGTAGTGCAAATGCACACAAACGCAATGGTTATTATTTTTGCAGAAAAAGAAAAAAATATAATAACCATCATTTTTTTTGTTGTTGTAGAGAACATAACATACATTTATGTTACTCACACGAAGTTGAGGAACATATAATGTATTTTGAATTAAATCATTTTAATTCATATTTGATCATTTGTATTGAATTATTTCTAAATTAAATAATTTTGAAATGTACATGTATTGAATTATTATATTATTTAATATTTAACATTATTTATATAGATTCTATTTTTAATTCTTTTATTATAAATAATTAAGAGATTTTGCACCGTTTATTATAGTGTAATTTGGATAGAACAACAACAGACTTTATTAAAGTAGTTTATTAGAGCAGAATTTTGAATAGAATTCAGTGACGTATAGAAGAAACATTCTTTTGTAGAGAATGTTTCATGCATTCATGTTGCTCACAGCAAGTTAAGAACATAATGTACTTTATAATAAATTATTTTATTTAAGATTTAAATATTTTTAACTTATACATTTGACTTTGAAATGTACTAAATGATTATATTACTGACCATTATTTAATATCTAACTTGATTTATTTATTAAATAATTTTTTATTGCAAATAACCATTATTTATAATAAAATGTTGCTAAATAAAGAAATGCATGAATGAATGATAGAAAGAATCGCTGACAACATTATTAGAGGAGAGGATGCGCTGAGTTTCCAACAGGTGGCAGGAAAGTCTTGCTCATCATGACACACTGATGTGTGCGCGAGCGCTTGGGAGGAGTTACACACATGCACAGCCTCTCGGGCTGCTTGGCAACACACAGCATGAATCAAGTGAAACACGCTCGGTGTACCAGGAGATATTGATGGGACACTTGGATCAGTCCAGCCCGACACCAGCAGCTAAAGTCACCCACAGGCCGAGAACAGAACTAAAGGTTCGGGGACTTACTTTCAGGACCACTATGAGCATTTCCACATAGACTTTATTCATCTTATGAGTTCAGATGGGACGTTCGGATGGTGCAAACATCAGGTGCATGAGGACTGAAGCAGAGGACATGTAACAAAGGAGGACAGGAGCTGGATGATGGATGGTAACATCCCGAGGTTTCTCTAGGCTCTTCAGTTTGGATCTTCTGTCTAGTTCAAGATGAGTTGTTTCTGTTCGGTCCAAGAGGAGTTTTACTGTGAGGTTCTGCTCCTGGATGAGTCCAAGCTGATTTTAACCACCCAGCAGCAGGGAATAAAGGTAAACGATGCTTTTATAAGAAATGATTTCAGTGCATATCTTCAGAAAATGAACTATTCTGATCCAGAAGGCCTGTAGGCTACACTCAGCTTTTCTTTCTTACCACACAAAAGAAAAACAAGAACAATATAGATATTTGCTATGTCGTAGTAATTCATCATACTGATTTTGAACAGTACCTGTGTCTATATTGAAGAGGTCCACACCCTGAACCCATGAGCTTAGCACACTACTGTTAACCAGATTACAGTTAGCAAATGATCATTATACACCAGTCTCATTATATATAGCTGGCTGAACAGGGACTACATCGGATTTATGTTTTAAAGCAGTTATGGTGTGTTGAAAGAAATATTAAACCTGAAAGTGTACACTAACTAGGAGGTACCATGGGATAGCTGTAGTTTTTTGGACATGGTGTGTTCATGGAGCGTGGCAGAGTTCTTGAAAGTTATGAGCAAACGTTATTAAAATGTTTGTTCAAAGTTATCTGGTCTTTAAAAAAGCACAGAAACATATATAAAAACGTTTATACATTGTTCACGGGATGTTTTTCTGAAACATTTTAGTTGGACGTTCGAATGGTTTTTCAGTGTTATGTTACCTCTTGTTTCGGAACGTTCAAAAGTAACGTTCAATGTTTTCAAAATGATCAAATGTTCTCTTGACGCTTGTATATAACCAAGAAAAACATGTTTTTAAAATTTTAAACTTTAAAAAGCGTAATAAAAAAAAAAACATTACTACAAAGAAGAAAAACATGTTTTTAAAACTTTAAACTTTAAAAAACGTAATAAGAAAAAAACATTACTACAAAGAAGAAAAACATGTTTTTAAAACTTTAAACTTTAAAAAACGTAATAAGAAAAAAACATTACTACAAAGAAGTAAGAAAAACATGTTTTTAAAACTTTAAAAAGCGTAATAATAAAAAATATATTTTTCTTACTTCTTTGTATCAGGGTGGTATCAGGGTGGTCAAACCGGTTGAAGTTGTATCCCTACATCCTAACAAAAATATGTTCTAAACACAATATGTTAATGTTTCCATTAAATTATGAGAACGTTATTTTTTGAATGTCCGTGAAAGTCCAGGGTTTAAAGCGTTTTTTTAGAATGTTAAGGGAATATTCCATTTTAAAATGTTCCAAACACTATGGGGATGTTACTTTTGAATGTTCTCTGAACATTCTGAAACAAATAGTAACATAAAAAAAAAAAAAAAGCTAGATGAACATCCAACGTTTCAGAAATAAAACATTCCATGAACGATGTATAAATAACGTTTTGTGCTAATATTTGAGAGCATTAAAGGTGGGGTAAGCGATTTTTCAAAAACACTTTAGAAAACCGATTCGGGCCGAATAGCAAAAAAAAACTTGTAGCCAATCAGCAGTAAGGGGCGTGTCTACTCATGATGTGGAGGAGAGCGTGTTCAGTGCACGGGACGGACATTAGCCGAGCCGAGCGACAGAAAGATAGAGATGGCGGATAAAAAACAAAAGAGGAAAACATCTGCGGAACAAAAGAAGGCTTAAGGCAAGAAGTAGAACCCGTGTAAATATCGGATCAGCTTTCCAGCGCTGGAGAGAACTCAAGGAGCGGAAGGCCTGCGATCGGACGCCGAGGTTGTTTTGTTTCTTCTCAATAGGTGAGTAACACTGTGTCTGCGCCGCAGCAGCTAAAGTCTGTCTAGTGCACTGGACGCTACAAAGCGACCGTTGAAAATCATTAGAAATTTGTGTCAATACGTCATGAATGGAACGCAGCAGCAGTTTTGCTTTGTTTCACAGAACTAATCTGTTGCCTGGGTTACGTAGGTATGTGTGGGGTGGAGCTATCAAAATAGGGGCGAGACGCTTTTGGGGTAGGGGCGTGTTTGTTTTGGTGATTTCAAATGTCAACATTGGCAACCAGAAATCACTTACCCTGCCTTTAATATTAAAGACCAGATAACTCAGAACAAACGTTTGATTAACGTTCCTGGAAGAACCTTGAGAGAACGTTCCCTGTCAGCTGGGCTATTACTGCTCTTTTTCTAATCGTTCACATGCAGCGTGTTTGTGTCTCTGAACAGAGTATCGTCAGATATCGGATTGCTGGTTTGCTATGAATAGTTAATGGACAGCGGAGCAGGAGGATCTTTAACAGGTCTTTAATGTACAGTACATGAGGACTACAAAACTGTGAAAAATGGGCAGTCTTTGGAGTTTGAATGACACTTTTTCGCAAAACAGTGTAGCTTTAGCTGATATCTGCAGAGAGGAGGTTTATTAGTTTGTTGCGCATTGCCGGACATGAAGTTCACGGTCGTCGAGTTCAGGTTGAGATGAAGGTTGATGAAAGTGTCCATCTGTCACGCTTGTCTGGATGTTCTTAGCGTGACGCCCTGTTTCCCTCCATCAAGGACGCTGAAAAAACAAATATTTTCACTTCAAATTTGAAGCCTAGGTGTTGCTATGCAGGTCCTAAGGTGGTTGCTAGGTGTTCCCTTCCCCTTTATCAACTTTAATACTTTGTGCATGTGATCAAACCTCTAGCACTAACACTGATAATGAGCAATAAAAGTATTTTTGCATTTAAGTGCTTTATTTGTGCCATACATTTGCTCACATGCACAGATGCTCACTCACATAAAACACTGAGCGGTTCACACACACTTACGACACAAAGGCCTCATTGATTTGACCCAGACGGCGGTGTGTGTAGTTGTGCGTGAGGAACAGAACGGCTCACATGTTTCCATCATCGCAAAACAAAGACAGCAACTCAGAGGCCGCGCTTGAGTCGAGGTGATGCTCTCCTGACGTTTGCAAATGACAAAGAGAAAGCTTTATTTGCAGATTTAGACTGTCTTCCTCCATTGTGTTTCCTGTGAGAGAACGGCAGCGCTTTCTAAACAATAATGACCTTTGGCACGTTTCAACAAAAAAAGATTATTAAAAGCTGTTGTTGTGAAGTTCAAAGGTTCAGGATGAGGCTACAGTGCATGAAAAATGGTCTGGATATTGAAATGTTTTCGTTGTACAGTGGGGATATCAGATATTTGAGTGAATCTCTGGGTTCACATTTCACTCTAAAATTGAAAAGAAATTAAAAGAAGTAAATAAGAAATTTTATTTTCATGATAATCAAACATATTTAAACCACCAAATCATCTTATTGTAAAAAAAACAAAAAAAACACACAATAATATATCATTTCAAAGTATTTCATGTCATGGTAGTGTTTGTTGTGCGGACTTTAATTTATGCTTTAAATACATGTTATATTGAAAGAACTACTGAGAATAATGAAAATTACATAAAGCATTTAAAAAGGAAATGTGCTTAATTGTCATGAATTTGTCTTTTATTAAAATGTTATAATATTTTTATTCTTCAGGACTCTTTGATGAACAGAATTCAAAAATACAGCATTTGTTATATATGCCTATGTATATATGTATTTATGTATGTGTGTGTATTTATATTCTGTATACTGTACTGTGGTATTGTACAGTATGATTATGAGCATATTCATATACTGTAGTTACATAAATGATTGCATTGAAGGCATTTCAGAAAACACCACTGGATTACCAACATGTTAGTGTCCTAAAACCTGGTAATACCGTGGTACTGTTTTGCTCGAGGAGTGACAGACAGAGAAAGTGAAACACAGGGAAATGTGGATTCTGGATTAGTCGGTGTTTAAGGCCGCTGGAGCGTCGCTGGTTCTTCACTCTCGTCCTCCACACACACACATCCGTCCGTCAGCGCGGGTGGAGGGAGTGTGTGGTGTTTGGGAGTGTGCCGGCTGCTCCAGACAAAGGCAGAGGAACCCCGGTGATAAGATGGAGCAGATTTCCTCTAGCTGGATTTGAGGTGGACTAATGCGAGCTCTGGATCAAATCCCTCATTGATGCGTTTAATGGGATTCCTGCAAGTGTGTTGTTTTACATGTTCACTTACAATAACATTTTACAGCTCACATTAATAGTGATGAGGAGCCTAATTAGTAAAGAGGACAGAATGAAATTATTGAACGTTTTGTTGTGCCGTCTGACATTATCTGGCACTCATCTTGAAATGACAATGTGCCATGAGAGACAGAAATAAACCGCAGACTAGAATAAACCGCATTCACAGCTCATGTGATGTGCGTTTTTGTGTGTTAGCTTTTCCCCATGGAAAAACAGTTAGTGCATTGAATAAGTATATATTATTTTTATTTTAAAAGTGCTTGAAGTTTTCTTTTTAAGGTATGGGTTAGTCTGTAAGATGTTTTTTTACTCTAAACATTTTTTAATGTTGTCTCTTGTGCTCATCAAGGCTGCATTTATTTGATCAAAAATACAGAAAAAACTGTAAAATTGTGAAATATTATTACTATTTAAAATAACTGTTTTCTTTTGTAATATATAGTCAAATGTAATTTATTTCTGTGATCAAAGCTGTATTTTCAGCATCATTCCTCCAGTCTTCAGTGTCACATGATCTTCAGAAATCATTCTAGGTTGATGAAAGTGTCCATCTGTCACGCTTGTCTGGATGTTCTTAGCGTGACGCCCTGTTTCCCTCCATCAAGGACGCTGAAAAAACAAATATTTTCACTTCAAATTTGAAGCCTAGGTGTTGCTATGCAGGTCCTAAGGTGGTTGCTAGGTGTTCCCTTCCCCTTTATCAACTTTAATACTTTGTGCATGTGATCAAACCTCTAGCACTAACACTGATAATGAGCAATAAAAGTATTTTTGCATTTAAGTGCTTTATTTGTGCCATACATTTGCTCACATGCACAGATGCTCACTCACATAAAACACTGAGCGGTTCACACACACTTACGACACAAAGGCCTCATTGATTTGACCCAGACGGCGGTGTGTGTAGTTGTGCGTGAGGAACAGAACGGCTCACATGTTTCCATCATCGCAAAACAAAGACAGCAACTCAGAGGCCGCGCTTGAGTCGAGGTGATGCTCTCCTGACGTTTGCAAATGACAAAGAGAAAGCTTTATT